TTGATATTAATTGGATCATGGTCCTTCGAAAAGTACTGGAAATTACTATTTGCAAACTGTCAGTTACACTTTTAACACATATTACGTTTCATTTTGAAAATCACCTACACTTCTACAACCAAGGACTGTTATGTTTGCGTTTTTTACGTGTTAATATTATATACCAGAGTTCAGAACGGGATAGGTCATTTTCTTTTCATCGCTTCGTTCATATATTGCCAAAATAATAATTTAATCATACTTTTCATATACGTAGACCTGATATTTGTGGCTTAATTTAGTATTTAAAATAGTTAACGTTTAGCTGTGTATGATTGTTCTTTTTATGACTATGTTAACACTGGTGTTTGTACTGTTTTTTTATTGTGTCAATAAAGTTTAAGAGAATGCATATGGTTTTTGTGTAACATCCTTTCTGAAAAGCAATTTGTGGTGGTTAGGAAGAGGCAACTAGTTAAAATTTTATTACAGGAATAAAAAAATAATTAATTTATCTAATAAAAACAAATACTGAGTGTATAAAAATGTTATATTATACTTCAGTGGTGAGTACAATAAACGTGCGTCTCTTGAATCACAATAATTGTTAGTATTTACCGGTTGTTTACTATCTATTTTTGTATAGAGTTAGTATACAGGGTGTTTCATGTAGACCGGTCATCAGACTTACTCTGAACATAATCTGATTTTTTGAGAAGTCAAAATTTGCACTTCTTTACAACTCTTTACGCATCTGAAATATTTACAGATAGATAGATCCGGTATATCCGCCGAAGTCGCCATCAACTTTTTAATTTTTAATGGAACACCCTATATATTATTAAATTTTTAGATTCTGTGTAAAATTTTCAGAGATTTAGACATATTCTGTATAATGTACTATGTATATATTAAAATTGTAAATTTTTTTTAACTGACACACAGTTTGAACATTGATAACTCCACCTACAAACGCCATCCCTCGAACACGTGTATACACAGAGTTCTCTTTGTAGCCCATATCAAAATAAGGTTCTGAAACTAATTTCTTGTGGCATGTCTTATTTAAATATAGGACTTTTCATAAAAAAATATGTAGTGTCAGTCTTTTTTTCGAAAAGATTTTTTTGTAAACAAACATGTTTAGGTTAGTAATATAAGTAACAATAAAGTGCATGTGAACACATAATTAAGATAAAAAATACCGAAGAAAGTATAGTCATTGAACAAAGAAATACGAAAATAAAGAAAAATGAACTTCAATTAGCAAATCAATTTTTTTAATCGAATATTATGACACCTGTACAAAAAGGAACAACGGAGCGATGTCTTTATGGAGTATGCAAGAGAGATACGGGCTCTAAATCATTTAAAGGATATATATATTATTTTATAAATTTTCTAAAGATTTTATTTATTTAATAAATATTTGTTTATAAATTTATAAACCAGTACGTATGTCGTATAATTCGTCATTGTCAAATTTGTACGAAAAACATGGCGGCTGATGAAACCCTATTTATTATATTTACATGGGATTCAGCTACAAAAATTGGTTGTAACGACAATTACATCTACTAACTAATGTTTGGCATTTCGACTTCCACTCCGGAAACCCTTGTTAAAAAAAGATTATTTTAAAAAATTATTCGAAAATGTGTAATCAAAGTTGTTTGTTGTTAGGTTATGTTTTTTCAAAATCCACATACTTTGCCTCGAGTTTTTCGGCAACACCATGGAAATGGCTGAAAAAATCTGAGATTCACAGCATTCTACATTTAAATTTATTAAAATCTAACTATTTTGCACTGTTTTATGTATTTAAGATCTTCCAGACTACAAAAAATCATGAGTGTTACTTATGGCTGAACTCGTATTGAATAGGAGATTCCAATAATGACTGAATATACAGGGTGACGAATTTGAAAAACCAAAGTTACTAATAATATAAGAGAAACGGCAAATCTGGTAACATTGCAAATATCAAATATGGAATTTCTGTATCCCAAAATCGGTGTACCTCAAATTTTGTAAAATGATGACTAGCAATTTACGAGATAATTTTCCGTTTCCAACTTTTGGGCCACTCTGATGCAGGCAATGTTTGGCAACATCATGTCTTTTTATTAATTCGATTAGGTATTATTTCAGTTTTTGATCTTCCACTATAGACGATTTCGATGATTAAACGTTTTTCTTCAAAAGTGAAATTCGCCCTTCATGCCGTACGAGAAGAGCAATCTGGTCCGGTTACTTTAGCATTAGTTAGTTTACTTTTATGTGCAACAAACTCTTTTCATTTTTGTCTTGCCAATTTTTCACTTTCTTCTATGTAAAATTTTTTATCGAGCTTTCGCTTTTTTCCTACGCTTGCGGGTTCACCATCCAAATAGTCCGAATCCGATATTTCTATAAATAAAGATTAAATTGGCAAAAAGAAATAAAATAAAACTTACAATCAATTTAATTTTACCACCAAAACGACCGGTTTCGCTTACTACAATTTGCTAAGCGTCTTCGGGTCTAACGGTACCGGGTAAATTAAATGCTGAAATTACAAAAACCCACATTAGGGTGCTGTCTTATAAAGATAACAATTACAACAATTATGCCAATATTATATGTCTGTGATTATTAATATGAATAAAATTGATGAAGCAGACAAACTAAAACCTACAAATTGGTATAAGATAATCTATTGAATTGAAATAAATTAGTAAATAACCAAAATACTACTTACATGCCGGTACAAGAATTATTAATTAATGATTTGTAAAACAGTTCAAACTATCCTGGATTCCTAGTCATGGGTGATAATTAGTTTTATTATAACTATTATGGTTATTACTATTATGGTTATTTACTAATTTATTTCAATTCAATAGATTATTTTATACCAATTTGTAGGTTTTAGTTTGTCTGTTTCATCAATTCATCCTATTTTATTCATATTAATAATCACAGACATATAATATTGGCATAATTGCGGTAATTGTTATCTTTATAAGACAGCACCCTAATGTGGGTTTTTGTAATTTCAGCTTTTAATTTACCTGGTACCTTTAGACCTGAAGATGCTTAGCAAATTGTAGTACGCGAAACCGGTCGTTTTGGTGGTAAAATTAAATTGATTGTGAGTAAGTCTTATTTTATTTCTTTTTACCTATTTGAAATAGACTCACACAGGCAACACATTCATGATTTAAAGATTAAATTCTTTAATATTTTTACTCAACAAGAACTACATGCCAACTTACCCACTAGACACTGAACGATTTAATTCTAGATAAATTCAATTTGCACGGCACGTGGACAAAATAAAAATTTACTTTTAAAACACTTTTGAACAACAGCTTAACAACACTGTTTATTCGACGAAAGTGCAAAACAAACTGAAAATCAGCTGTTCCAGACTCCTAAGGTTATTAAGCGACACGTTTTTTACATTGCGAGGATAAAGGATAACATTCCAGTAATATTCCCTTAACAACAATGTTTTTACATAAAGGCGGCCAGCGATTTTATCGTTTTTACGCTCAGCGGATACAAATATTCATATTATTCGATTCGAAGGGTTCCTTTTGTATGAAAAACTATTCAAAATGTTTTTCATTGTCTACATAGTTTCATCGATCAGATGAAGAATCGAAGAACTAATCTTTCTGCAGTTTTTAGGCTAAAATCAAGATTTCTTTCAGACAATTAATGTTCCAAAGATGCCCACCAACTTTACAGGGTAAAAATATATGATGGTGAAAACACAGGAGCATATAGAAACATGCTTCATATTTTTGCCTAGCTGCATAGAAGAATAACTAGACAGCATTCGGAAGTCAAAAATACATTAAACACTCGACCGAATCATTTAAATTGTATAATCCAGTTCAAAGATTTAAAAAGTTTTCCAAAACTGTTTTCCTCTGGATCACTTTCGACATATTGCTATTATTAGTTCATCATCATCATCATCATCTTTGGCTCGACAATCCTCTGTGGATCTTGGCCTGCTTTAAGATTCGTCGCCATTCTGTTCGGTTTTTGGCAACATGTTGCCATCTTCTGATTTTTAATATTCGTAAGTCGGTTTCTACTCCATCTAACCACCTAATTCGCGGTCGGCCTTTACTTCTTTTTCCTACAGGTGTTCCTGTGGTTAGCTTTTTAGCAATGGTATTTTCTGGCATTCGTATTATGTGTCCAGCCCATCTAAGTCGCTGTGTTTTAATGAACGTTATGACATCTGGCTCATCAAAGAGCTGATACAATTCAAAATTATATCTTCTGCGCCACTGCCCTTGGTCGTTTACAGCTTCAAATATTTTGCGGAGTATTTTACGCTCAAATATTCGTTATTATTAGTTCATCTACCTTTAATTCCAAGGCTGGTTCCTTTTTTATGATAAACTATTTAAAAGGTTTCGTCCTTTGTATTGATGCTGCAGATTGAGGTTAATCTATGATTAAAACACTGAAGTCCTTTACTGATTTATTTTCAATTTCATCAAATAAGTTATATGTTATTTATATACAGCCTGTACACGATACTTATCTATGTGGAAGTAAAATTTAACTGATAAAGCTTGGGACTCATCGTTATTGGAATCTATTGCGCATAGTGGATGCGATACCAAATCGAAGTTTTCTTAAATTCACAAAGAAAATGAAATTGCTATAGTTGTGAGTTACATTTTTGTTGAAAATATGGTGTGATGTTGAAGTATTTAACGGATACCCTGCATGGCAACGAAAGACTCCCAATAGGAGTTGTTGCTGACCCTCAGACAATGTCTTATCATTTTTTTTGTTGCGGTTCCCAAGGAATCACCGGTATCCAACGTTGTTGGGACACCCTGTACATATTAACAAAATGAAATTTTATGTATCGCTGAAAAATTTTAGTAAAAATTGTTTTTTTGTATTGTATTGATAACATACTATAATTTGAAGTAATAGCATAGTTTCCATTTAACTTAACCACTCACATTTGCTTTTAATTTTCCTTAAACTTATTCCTCTTGCAGGTTGGTCGATATGGTCGAATCTGGGAAGCATATTCAACAAAGGAGAATCCGATTTATCCGTCCCAATTATAGTTCCCAAGCCTGAAGTAAAATATACAGAAACAGTTAATACTATTCCCGCTGTACATATAGAGTCCGAAGTAAACATCAATGACGACAACGAGGTTTTTATTAATCAACAGAAAATAATAGATGGTCTAAAAGATGAAATAATAAAACTCCGATCTGAAATGGTAGAAGCAGAACGAGCGAGGCAGAACGATTTGAATAGGATAATGTCAGGTCTGAATTCTGATAGGTCCGAGAAAGCTGTTTTCTGGACACAGCGTGTTAATCGATGCTGTAAGAATCCTTATATAGATATCGATAATTATATAAGTAAAGTTTTAACGAATTTTATAAACGACCCAGAGTTTCTAAGAAATCAAAAAGGCTTTAACGAATATTTAAGAACTATCTTGATAGCAAGACAAGAGTTGGAATACAGAATAGGTAATATAACTTCTAACTTCGATACAAAATACGAGAACTTGTTAAATGAAAATACACTAAAACTTATGGAGGAAGTGACTTTAAGGATAAAACGAGACATTAGCAAAGAGTCAAAACAAATAGACAGAACTTCTGGACAAGATGTATCAATTTCTGACCAACACATCAAAAAACTAGTGAGGGGAGTGCTTGATGTTTATGATGCAGATAAAACAGGTTTGGTAGATTACGCAATGGAGTCAATGGGAGCTCAGGTTCTAAGCACAAGATGCACAGAAAACTACCACTCGGGCAATGCAGTAGTTTCTGTATTAGGAATCCCTTTATGGTATCCAGTGAATTCTCCGAGAACTGTAATAACTCCTGGGATAAACCCGGGCCAATGTTGGGCCTTTCAGAACTTTCCAGGGTTTATTATGATTCGGCTGTCCAGGCGAATCAAAGTTGAAGCTTTCTCGATGGAACACATCAACAGATTGCTGGTACCAAATAGTGAAATTGACTCGGCTCCAAAAAATTTCGAAGTGTATGGTTTAAAAGACGAGAACGATAGCGATCTAGTGCTGTTAGGTGAATATGTCTATGAATATGACGGGGATGCGTTGCAGTTTTTCGATGTTCAAAAAGACGAACAGATATTCGAGATAATCGAACTTAGGATACTGTCGAACCACGGAAATCCTAAATACACCTGCTTGTATCGATTTAGGGTACACGGAAAATTAATTTCGTAGTTTTTTGGAATTAAATTTTGAAGAAGTGTAAATTATGTTGTTGGAGGTTAAGATGTTCCCGTGTAAATGTCGATAAAACTTATTTAAAAGGAGAAATTGTACATACATCAAACATATTTATATGTAGTTATAAAAACTCGAAGAAGTCTATATACTGTTCGTACTAATAGAAACTCAATGAGTTCCAACACCGCATAGGTTCATACACTGCAGTACGTGTGGTCCAATTTCCTTAAAACCTATTCTTACATACACTTTAAAAGGTAAGATATAAGTAAAGTGGAAAATTCAATATTTTCTTTGGTAATATGAGCAGTACAGGCTCTAAATCTGTTTTTGTCTTTTGCTTATATGAGCTTCGATTTATCAGTATTTATAAAAAGTTTTCGGTCGTGGAAAGGTATATTTACATTACGTTAAGCAGAATATTTTTATTTTAAACAAAATATTTTATAGATTAACGTGACTTAGGTGAAATCGTTTAACCTATTTTATCATTCCGTTATGTTGTTCCCCAATACTTTATTTTCCGATTCCGGTTGACTATTAATAGTTTATCCTGCTTTATATTTTATATATTTTTAAACCCATGTAGATAATCATTTATATTTAACTTTAATTGTATTTCCAGTGCCTTCATTTTTGTTTGCCTCAACTTCTGTAGCTTTTGTATCTCTATAGGTTGTTAAGTTTGTATTAGCTTGTTGATACTCATTTCTTGTAAGCGTCTATATTTTTGAAGGGACTGTATCTGTAATTTCAATCTTTTTGGTCGTAACACATGGTGGATATTTCTTATTCTATTGTAATTTATCCTAAGCCTGATCTTTGCTTTATTTGATTACGTATTCCTTAAAGATTTCCAAGATTCGCTGATTTTCTTTTCCGTGCACCTCTTATCAATTTTAATTCATTCAAGTTATATTATTTACAATCCATGATTCTAATTCTTTATGCCTCTTAGAACAGCTGCCACTCCATATTTTGCGGTTTTAGCTGATAGCTCTACAATTTGGTGATTTATCTTGCTATGTGATTAGTCTGACCTCATACATTTTACCTGTTTAAACATCCCATTCTTTTTTCTGTTCAGTATCCACTTGTTTATTACCTGTACATTACATTTTCTTCTGATATCTCCACTTCTTTTTGATCTCAGCGGATTTCCTGTAATTCTTCTAGAGATATAGTATATAGTATAATATATAATATAATAATTCGGCTAATGGATTAAGTCCACAGTCAAAAGAAACCAACAGACAACACACACACAATATAATAATTTAGATTGAGTATGTCATTAGTCTGTGTTTTGTCTGTGTCGTTTCTGATGCTTACTTCATTATTGGTCTTATAGTGGCTTTATAAATTCTTGGTTTCATCTCAGTGTTGTGTTTCGCCTTACAGTATTATTAAGACATCCAGCTAATCTTTCACTTCATTTCTTTGTTCACGTTTTGGATGACATAATACTGCATCTTTTCCGTACGAAAACCTTGTTGCTCAACTGCTAAATTCTGATAAAACTCTGATTTATTCGTTAGTACAAAATTTTAGTTCTAAGTTTCAGAGTGTTATTTAACAGGTTGAGATCTCTGTATTAGATTCCATTCTATAATCAGCTCCATTATTTAGAAGAGTGATTTCATCGTTTGAAGGCGGATAAGTATTTAAATATTTTCTTCTCCATACAATAATTTTATTTTGTTCTAATAACATACTTTTTCTGTTGCGTTTCACATATCGAAAGTTCATTTTGCGCATAGTCTTGATTAATACTCTACAAGATATTTTGGGTAAGACGCCATCGTTTTCAAGCTCTTGAGAAATTTTTTTCTGTGTTTGAGTCTCACTCCGAAAATAAAATGAATGAATTTTTCGACATTTCTTGTCTCGTCATCCAAAACAATGTTTTTTCTAACTCTAGTTTTACCTTTTTCTTGCTTTTGGATACGTTTGTTAAACTGCTACAAATGTCGACCGCTTGGCTAACACTTGATATGCCATGTTTCTGCCGATAATTCCTTTATGTCGTATCATGAATCCTTCTTTTATGTCCTATCCTTCATGTCGTACCTTCTCTTCTGTCATTAACATTTTCTGTCTCTTTTGTGGCTTTTCATTTTTGGAATCAACATCAGAATTTTGCTATCTTCTCTTGGAACAACTCGGTTGTTCGTCCATTGTATTTCAATAATCACAGAATATAACTTAAAATTCACTATAAAACGACAAACTCAAATACCAATCGGTTTATCACCACAAACTTCAACCGCACAAAATATAATCACAAAATGCAACACATGCTCTCCCGCCAGCACCGTTTATGTAAATGAACGTTTCTTGCTTCGGCACGTGCGGTGGTGTTACCGCTGCGATGCTTTACAAATACCCAAGTTGCCAAGTGTTTGAAACGGAATAGGAATGAAATGTAAAACATCGATTTTTATTTTATAAATTTAAATATGTACCGAAATGGAACATGTAAATAAAATTTATTTCATTACCATTTTGTGCTCAATTTTTACTATTGAAAAACATATTTTTTGGTATTTTTATCACAATAATAATCGCTGCTTTAAAGAATTCAGGTTTGTATGCTAGTTATGAACAAAAATCGGTTACTCTATACGGCAGCTCGTGGTAAAGTCTGTTATAGAGAAGCATAAATAAATGTACTAATTATACATTCTGTGATTTTTTATAAGAAAACGCAAATTGAAGGGGTAAACGGAAGGCCGCTGTGCATTTAAATTTGAAGACATTCGACGTTTAAAAGATGAAATCACTCTTCTAAATAGTGGAATTTTACTTTAGTTTTTTGTTTATTTTCTATATTTTTTGAATAGTGGGATTATTACACTTCCCTCCCAACCTTCCGATTTTTTATTGTGTATTATAATTTCGTACATATTTGCTGTTATTGTAGTTGCTCAATCATTGTTGCCCTTTAATATTTCAACCTTTTATTTGATATCCAATTTTTACCTGTAGCCACTTAGTTTCATTAAATGCATCGTTGTTTTTGTACGAAATATATTCAGAAATACCGTGGAACAGCTGCAACGTAAAAAAGCATCCACCTATGACAAATATATCTACGAATAGTTTATTAAACGTTAGTATCATCTCTGTGAAAGATAACAGTATGTAATTCTACTTTTTCTCCTTTTAATTAAGAGATATATAAGTGCAAAAACGTTGTAAATATTTTGAAAATTGTACCAAAGATTTGATGTGAAACAATTGTCGCTGATACGAGTAAAAGAAGTGTAAATGGAACAGTCTTAATCTCCGGTTTTTTGAATGAACAAAATTTTTAGTGTGTATTGTTTGAATTAAAGTGAGAGTGAATGATTCGGAGTTGGCATATCTGTGATACTTTTATAGCAGGGAGGAGAATTATTTTATTGTTTTAAGCATTATAACACGTCATAATTTGGAAAAAAAAAAACAGCAATATACCCTTCTTTTTCTCCCTGCTTTTCTATTTACGGTTTTCCATAGTGGTTAGATTAGATAATTTAGCCGTTGGTTAGTTTCTTCCAAGATAAATCGATTACTATCTTAAACCAAACTGATATAGAATATATTTGTCACTGTTAGAATAGTTTTCTCAGCGTGGGCTTAATTTTTATGGTTTAAAATTAAAGTACTTTATATATCTTGGAAAAACAACTAATTACATTATACCAAATAAGTGGAGATAGTGACTCATGGGTGTCGACATTTAAAATATTTATTTGAAAATATTACAATATTCTAAATGAGTATAGCTTTATGGTTTATACATTGTACACCACACATGCATAAGTTTTTGTAAAGTTGCCCGTTTGCAGCGCCAATCTTCCTCACGTTTTCGTCTGCAACCCCATTCTTCCACCCCAGTTTTGGCCTACTTTTAGTTCCCATAGGCAATAGGGTTCGTCTGGTAATGTATTTTTGATTCGCTTTTGACAGGCCTCTTACCATTTTCATCTACTTCTAGTCTTTTATAAAGGATATTACTTCAACTCTACCATTTGCTGTTTATGTTCTATCTTCTAAGTATTCTTCTTAAGATCTTTCTTGTTCGAAGATAATTGGATCATTTGCATCTATTTTAGAAGTACTCCATGTTTTCGACCCACATGGCGTCATTTCTAAGGTGGGTGTCACATTTTGTTAGTTTGGTTTTTTTTGGTGTACGATTATGTTCTTTAGATGCTTGGTTATTCTAAAGTAACACCTTTCCCTAGCAGTATCCTTTTTATTTCCTTCGTTATAGCATTATTCCCGTTATAACGGAGTCCAGATATAAAGATTTAGGTATATGAATTTGTTTACAAGCTGAAAATTATTATTCTCGGTGCAAAATGTTTCAGCAATGTTTCTGTCTTCTAGACACACGTGTTTTAAACACTTATATTATAAATATCGCCATATATTGCACTCTACAGACTACTCTACCAATTGTCGCTTTTGGAAATCTTAGGATTTAAAGATCTACAAAGAGGTGGAAAGTATCAATATTGTATTCATTAGTTTTTTTAATATTTGGCGTAGCAATCGTGAGGTAAGTTACTTTCACCAATTATTTGTTATATTATGTATAAAATGCCTTAAAAGTTTACATGTAGATATAGTAGTTCCAGTGTCATATTCAGTGGCCTTATAACATGGATTGTTAATATTTTCCATCATTGTACATTCTAAAATATGTAAGTTATAGCACATTCTACACTTAAAGAGGCGGTTGAAAAAAGCGGGTCTGTAACATTTTAGTAAGTTGACATACAAAACAAGGTAAAGCCGTAACTCTTTCGTAAATTGAGTAATTTTAAAACAATACGTAAATGTTACGTAACCTCTTCTTTCATTCACCTCTTCATGTACCTATTTTAATTACAGGACAATATATTGCAGTCAATGTACTGTGATGATTTTGTTTTTAGTTTTGAGGTGATATTATTTGCAAAATTATTTTAAAACAACGTATTTCTTTTACTAAAACCTGAATTAAATACAGTTAAAAGGTAGTTCGACCAATTTTATAAAAAATATATAATGCGCGTTTTATTTGGAGTACCTTCTTTTTGATGTTATTTTGTTATACTCTTACTGCATTATTCGGTTTTTAAATATTTTTTTGTTGTCTAGAAATTAAGCAGACTTATTATTCACAAATTAATACCAAACTATACTTTTTCACAATTCACTTTTGTCGAGTCGTTTTATCACTTTTACAAGTGTGTCGCAGTTACTTCTATCTATAAACAATTGGATTCTTCTATTTTATCACAGTTTGGCATTAAATATTGATATTACAGTTGCAACTCAGAGAAAAAATAACTTTATCACCTTAATCTGCTTTGCCAGACATTCCTATTTATTACCAATTTGCTGCGCCAATCTTCCTCGTCTACGCCCTTTTTCCACCTCAGACTTGGCCTGTTAATACTCCTATTTCCCACTTCCTCCTAGTCGGTCGTCCGGTTCGTACATTATGCCGCCTTAAATTCTTAATCATGATTCTTGATTTTTTTTCCATCTTGTTGCTGTTCTTCCCCGGACTCTCGCTCCTTGCACCGTTCTCTGCAATGTTAGCTTCTCCAGATCATCTCTACGTACCACATGACGAAATTAAGTGGTGATTTCTTCGATAGCAATATTTCGGACACTTTCTGTAAGCTGGACATTTCGAACGCGTCTATAGTGAGTTTATCAACTTCTTTTAAGGACCAACATCCAGACCGATATAAAAAAATGAAGAAGACCATTTTTTGCAAGCCTCATATTTGTATGTGTGGTGATGTGACTTTTCTGCATTTTCGTTTTCTTGCATGCATTGATATTTCGTCTTTCCCTACTTCCCACTCGCATTGGTAATAGGGTTTTGATAGGATAGTTTTCATCATGACCATTCTGATCGTAGATACGGCTGTATTTTAATTATTCATCGTTGCTTTCATGATTTTTTAAAAGCATTATTTAACGGCTTAAGCCTATCGTCTAAAAAGCCGCCAGAAAAAAGCAGAAAACTACGAATAGAAACTGCGAATGTCATGAAGAGATTCTGTTGGAAGAAACTTAGATAGAGATATTGAGTATAATAGATTAGAAAAATGTGGAATTAGAACAATAACATTTACAAGGCTTATACAAGGCACAGTCTTATAGCTTATTGACCAAAGACAGAATCTGAACAAATCAGAATTTAATGCAGACCCGAAGTAGACCAGTCAGCTGTATCAAAAGTGACAGTAACATAAGTCAAAATGAACCACCCAAACATTTTCCAGAAATAAAAGAAAATAACCTTGACAGTGTTTGTAGTGAACTTAAGGACATATGCACTGTTCACGTGTATATCGGAAAGGCGTCGAAGTGTAGTTTTTGTTGAAACGTCCCAAATGGCTTCCAAAGCCATATTGGGTGTTTCACTCATTACTAATTAATTAATTGATTAATTACTAATTTGTAGGTTTTATCAGAGCCAATATCTGCTCCATCATACGTGTCTACTCCTCTCATTCTATAATGATTATGACACAACGCGTTTGGTTTTTGTGTTTATTAACTTAAGATTTCCATGTATACAACCTTGGGTAGGAGATCATAATACGATTTCTTAATTTCCAGTTATTTTTAAGAGTGTTTCAAACTTTACCTCTGCTGTTTGGAATCGATGTCAGTACTTTGTTTATTGTGAAAACCAGGTTCATATCATCAGAGTATGCTATAATTTGCAATGATTTGTTAAATATGGTTCCATTATTGTATAACTTGGCATACTATACACTCTTTCTTGTTAAAACATACTCTTAGTTACTAGTGGGGGACTTGGCAAAGGTTGTCCTGCGGTTATGAATTAAACTCTCTAGGAATCTATAAACTGTATACATAAATTTCTATCTACATGGAAAAAGAAATATGGTCGTTAATATCAATATAAAAGAAGTTCATAAATGTAAATTCTCTGACGGTTACGGTCAGTTGAAGTTGAAGATAAATAGAAAGAACAATAAGATTGTCCTTTTTATTAATCTCGTACCTTCAACTTACCGATAACCTTCTCACAAGTTTCACTTGCGAATTTTCTTTAATCCATATATATATATATATATATATATATATATATATATATATATATATATATATATATATATATATATACAACAGACAACCATGTTACAAAACAAATTAATAAATGAGAGTTGACATAAAGCAGTATTCTGTGTAATTATATATATGGCAGATTACAGATGATAGGCTCAGAGTTGGAAAAGCAGTTCAATTTTATTCGCATATAAAACATAATAAAATTACTACTAGCTTACATTACGATTATGCTAAGCGCTAAATTTTGATTTTTCGCTTAAATAATATCACCTCTTTATCCGATTTACTTAACATATTGTAACACATCCCTCCCGAATCTGATCTCTTTGAGAACTTTATATACTATTCTTCAAATTGTGACCTCAATTCATACTTTCAGTTTGACTACTCATTGTTCTATAGTTTTTAAAAAGATGTGTCTTATATTTTAGGTAACTTTTTTTACTGTACTAACTTTACGCTTTGAAAAAGCTGTTGATTGCTGCTTTTGATCTTATTTGCGTTTTGGTGCACGAAGATATATATTTTTGAGATTGCTGCACATCTAAAACGTATACTAGGATATAAAGAACAATATTTAACAAGTATTCGATAATATGTAAGGTTTTAGCAGACTATTGACTATATATTTTTTAAATGAAATCTTGTATATTAATTCGAAAATCTTACAATTTTTTATATCATACTTATATTAAAATCGTTTTTCTTAATAGCATTGCTTCTTTTTCATATCCTATAAAATCTAGGTATAATTTGTGGTCTTTATTATTCATTGTATGTACACTTATTTACTAACACTTCACTTTTCTTTTCTAATCACTAAAAAACTACTACTACTGTAGTTTATATTATTTATAAAATTTCGAGTCATTCCTAGTCATGACAGTAATATCATTTGATGATATATTTTATTGTATCCTAAAACATTCTATTTAATTTGGTAATTAATTTGGATCGATTCCCTGATACAAATTGTAACATATTCATATCTTGGTGATTTCTTGCTATTTAGCTTATGCTTATTGTTGTTATGAATATTCAGGGATTTCATTTGAGTGTCACTAACAATATCTAGCTAATTGCTGTAAAGTTTAGTCTTCCAAATTCGCCACTTAGTGAATGCCGAGCTTCCTATTGTTTGGCCACTCAGAGGAGCCAGGTAATTAGATTCATTTCGCGAACGTCATAAACGACCTTTGTAATTTGTCCAAAACAATTATTGTTCGTTATCTTAAAATTGATATATTTTTCTTTTATTTCTTTATCTTTTCTATATATATATATATATATATATATATATATATATATATATATATATATATATATATATATATATATATATATATATATATATATATATATATATATAGCGAGTGTTTGCAACTTTAATTTTGTCGCTTCTCGCATCCCAATCGCCATAATTTCTTATCGGCCCAGTCTCCTTCTTGAAGACCTCTATTTTCCATTTCTATATGAATATTGGATATCCATTTCTTTCTTGGTCTTCCCCGTTTATTTCTATGTGTAGGTCTCCAGTTCCAAACCTTTCGTGGTATCCTTTCTTCGTTCATCCGTCTCAGGTGTCCATACCATTTTAATTGTTTT